CCTTTAACTGGAAGGCGTAGGTCGTCGTTGATGTGTGAGATTGTGCTGTGGGTATGCCTGTGGTTTGTTGGCTTTTCTGTTTGTTTCCCATTTCAGCTTTGTCCGTGTGACACAGGTTCTCGCAATGGCATCCAAGTCAACATGTATTGGTCGTGATGGAAAAAGGGGATGGATTTATTTATCTGGCGGGGAGTGTCAATGTAGTTCAGGATTGAACGATCAATTCATGGTTGTTTGCTCAAACCCAATTTTCCCAATTTTCGCGGAGGCATCAATCAGCCAGTCATCGTCTCATCGGTAGCTGCTCAGAAAGAAGTCAGAATAAAACCGTCAGATGTAATATTGTGATTTATTATTGTAATACTTGTTCATAGACCTTAGTTGTAATAGTGGTTATATGTTGGTGTTAGAATAAATAATTCTCGAGTCGCCAAACTGGGTTCTGGTTTTCACGTCCGTTCGTACTAAGCGTTTCTGAGAAGCTTCGAGGAACAGCGTGAGCCCCAGCGTAGCAAGAGCTGAGCATTAACGGTTTACGAAACGTGGCTTACAATTACACATGAGTTTTAATCCTGAATATAAAAAATTACCTTCGAAAAAAGTAAAAACAATAATGACTGCACAGATATAATTTATAATAATGCTTTTGCTCCTAACATCTAAAAGCCTGCTCAGCTTCTTGTGAATATGATACCCCATTGGGCCATACGCAAGTTCCCCAGACATCCCACAGGTCACCAAATCCAACAGGTTCTAGCCCTTGAAGCCACTTCTCTCTGAAATGTCACTTATATACGTCACTACGATCCTTCTATCTGATTACTATTATACTCTACTTTATCTTAACTCCCTAGGCCTTTAGTAAACCTGAAATTTACTTATTTTCTCATTCATACTCTTCTCTCGCATAAAGTTCGGTTGCTATGATGATAAAAAACATAACAGCAACAGTCATCTATGAGAATGACTATATTTTCATAGAAAACATCATAGTTTTCCATGGTAAGACCAATATGGTTAGCATCATACATTGCCAATGTGTACTATCAGTTCAAGCACTTATCCTTGTATTTTTCTTGTAAACATACTTCCAATAATGCATTATTCGTGATTGCATTTTATACTGTTTTGCAGCTGCGCAGGACTTTCTCCTCTTCCTGAAATAGCGTTCAAGCACGTGGGGTCATAGCACTCACTCAAATATATGTTGTTTACCGATGGGCCATAAATATCATCAGGAAATGGAACGGAGTTTGGGTTGTCACTCAACTTCAGTGGAGAACTTCGTGAAAGATTTACAGATCAACAGTTATAGGAATCTGTTCTGATTGCTTGTACTATAATTCAACAATTTGAACTTTTAAAAAGTGATAATGTATGCTAATTCACAATTGTATTTCGTAACATAATTGATCGTGCCTGTGAAAATGGAATGCACTTCATGTAAACTTACCCGTCTCTACGAAACATATATTATTATTTAACACTGAGAAATTGTGAAGGGATCCTCCCACTTAAATCTGGGGGCATACTAATCACGAGGCATACTTACAGCAAGAATCGAGTGTCTTCCTACTTCTTTTTCACCTGAGTTTGCCGCCCTAGAGCTGCTTCTGATAGCTACTGCTCGTTATTAATATTATATTACGATTGTTCCTTTGGGTACCCAGTGTAACATAGGACTTCATCAACGTATCTCCACTCTGTTCTCTTTTCTGCCATCCTCTTCAGCTAGGCCCACGATTGCGCAAACTCTCTGATCTCTTCCTCACACGCTCTCCTCCACGTCAACCTAGGACGACTTACTCGTCGCTTCCCATCGGGATTACACTAGAGGGCCTGGCGTGCGATGTCATTCGATGGCCTCCTCGATTTATGCCAGATCAATTCACCTCTATTTTATCCTAAATTTTGTTGAACAATCGGATCCTTTTTGTTTTGTTTACAGCCAGAGTTTCTTGTTGCTGATTCTTTCTGGTCATTCGATATTTTGTACGGGGTCAGAGAAGGTAGCCGTTGATGAAAGTCTGCAACCTTTTGGAAATCCTTTGTGTGGTGCGCAGTGCAAGTCTCTAACCCGTACAAAAGGGCTGACTTAAGATTGGTGTTGAAAATCTGAATTTTGTCCTTTATGCTGAGGCGGAGTGCAGAAGATTTCCCAAATGGTTTCAGGTTGATGAAAACGTATTCTACCTTCCCGATTCTGGTTGACTTTAACATTTTCGTCAATTGCACCTGTAGTTGAAATGATTCCTCCCAGATAAGTACAAGAGTTAACCTTTGTAAAATCTCTCCCGTTCATAGCTACTAGTGCCGGTTGTTGTTGTGGTTCGTTGATTATCTTCATCACCTCCATCTTCGCTATGTTCATTTGAGAACCTGTCTTCGATGCCGCCTTCCTCAGCCAGTCGGTTGGTTTTCGCCTGTAAGTCTTCGAGCTTGTGTGACATCAGGCAGGTATCATCTGCGAAATCCAGATCTCCCCGAGTCTTCTTAACGTAGAAGATGTTTAAGTAGTAACTGGATAATCAAGCAGTAACATAAGGTCTGTGTCCAAATGAACTATCCCAATAACCGAACTCAGATGTAATTCTGACATAGCTCACTCTAGCAGTGAGTTTCAGCTAAATTCGCCTCTCCCATGCCTCACCTTGTCTTAGTCCCCAGATCACCATGTATTTTCATTCATTTGCTCTTTAGTTGTTACTTTTAGTCGTCAACACATTTGTCAATGTAGTTGAAGACTGAACGATCAATTCATGGTTGTTTGCTCAAACCGAACTTCGCCATAATTTTCGCGGGTCATCAATCTGAGAGTCATCGTCTCATCGTTCGCTGTTCAGAAGGAAGTTTAAAAAAGTGTCAGAAGTAATATTGTGATTTATTGCTGTAATATTTGTTTTGAGACCTTACTCTGTAAAAGCAGTATTTTTGGTTATATGTTGGCGTTAAAATAAAGAATTCCAGAGTCGCCATACAGTGTTTTGTTTTTTGCGTCGTTTAATACTAAGCGTTTCTGAAAATCTTCGAGGACGGCGTGAGTCCCAGCGTAGCAAGAGCTGGTCATTAACGGTTTATGAGACTTGACTGACATCATTTGTTTGTTTGGTTTTCTTCTAATATTCAAATACTCGCCAACAATTATGCCGATGTCATCGCTATTATCACCATCGTTTAATTTTTTGACTCCATCGGACGAGTAATGTTTAAAATGCCTAACTGTGGTTGAAGCAGCACCACAGCTCCAACACAGTCTAAATCATATTTAGTCAACTCGCTACGCAACTGCTCTCGGTGTCTTCCAGAGTCACATCAGCTGATCGACAGAATGAACTGTGTATGATCTTGACAATAATCGAAAACCTGTGCCTCACAAATAAGAAGCAGGCTCATTGGTATCAGTAAGGCTTGCAGTGGCTTGGATATTTGACACTGCGTATCACTGCCAGAATCGTGTGGAATTTACAGTTGTGATGTGGCAGTTGTGCAAAAAACAATAACCAATCAAGTTAGAAATAATTCAGTATGACAGAGCATATATCTACACTGAAAAGAGTCAATAGCAATCCAGTGAAAAACACAGTTGTAGAGTTTTTTCTATAGCTGCGTCATATTTATCATAAAGTCTACTAATCACTATCTCCACAACATCTGTATCAGTGTGCCTACGTTGGTAGTGGTGTTGGACCAGTCTTTTTAGTTTTCGTCACCACTAGATCCGTTCGGAAAAACTGAGCATGATCTCAAGCAAAGGTTGAGTTTGTATTCCTTCTAATACCCTCGGCAACTGAAAAATATCTGGAGGTGTATACATATCAGGTGAATTGATCTTACCTCTGATGAACAGCTCCTCACCTTAGGCACACTGAGTATGCAAACAAGGGAGGGAGAAATCATAGATTTGGTGAAATTCTATAGATTAGTCGTCCATATATTCCATGGTAGATTTGAATAGTTGTAGAGCTGCCAAAACACCTGTCACACTTTCTCTTCTGTAAAAAACAAATATTACACAAGTGACTCTCTTATCCATCCGCTGCAACCAACTGAAAGAGACCAAATCTTAAAACTTTATACTTCTTTGATCAAGTTACCCAGTAGTATTCTTCTTGTAAGTGGGTCCAATGCTTACCACATCTGTGAAATTTATACATATGTTAACTTGCTGAAAAACATGGCAAAGTTACACTTTAAGTACCACTAACTACCAATCAGCGAATAACCTGGAACGCACCAATCACGTGAGGGAGGCAATTTTTGTACACGGGATACGTATATTCATTAAACGAATGCATAGAAACTGTGGAAAATGTTACAGAAGACACCTTTCTCTCGCTTGTGATAAAAATAGCTTTCAGTTTTAGGTTGGAGTATCAACACAATATAAATCCATTGTGGGCAAAATTTTTTTGGTAAAGTCTCACAGTGTTATACAGTAATATTTGCTGAGCAATAAATTGTGCTCAAAACGTTGTCATCAGTAAATATTATTGTATAACCCTGTGATACTTTATCAAAATAAATTTTATCTCGCAATGGTGCGTCGGTGGTATAGCGGTTAGCACGCTCGCCGACCATGCATATGGTCCGGGTTTCGATCCCCGGCCGGCGCACTCCTTTACCTCACTGAGCCAGAAATAATACTGGTAAAGAGGAAAGGTTGGGCATGAGGCTAACAACCCCATCCTGTAAAAATTAAACACTGCTACAGAAACTTCAAGCCACTAGCTTGGAGCCCTATGTTCCACTGGGAACGTGAAGGAAAAATTATTATTTATTATTAATGGAATTTTACTCCACCACAGTGCACAACTACGTTCCATGTAATTATCTAGCTCTTCTAACCCAAACCTAACTCTAAAGCGAAAATATCCCTAAACTAATTGTAATCTAACTCGAACCAAACCGAATGTCCCCTTTATTCGGTTAACCTAACTCTCAATTGCCCTTTGCTTACAGAGTAACTTAATCTTTCCCAAACCTAAGCTGTAGCTTGCCTGATATCCCATTTAATAGCATAACACTTAAATGAGAATATTTTATTGATGATGACAGCATGATATGCCGGGCGATTATATGGCATATCCCCTATTTGAAGTGGCCAGGCTCAGTGAATGTTTCAAGGTCATTGCCCCGGTCCCACTCCATTGGCAGTTGGTAGTCCTTAAATTTCTAATTTATTATTTTATTTTATTATTACTATTTTAAAGCCACCTTCGGTAGCCTACAACACGTATTAGTCGCAGAGTTTATGCAAGGGAAAATTTGCCAATCACAATGCATGTAAGTGACCTTCAAGTGATCAGCCCCTCCCACAAGGCATTTATCCGCGGTCCTCTGGCGTGGTTGAGAAGACAGCATACCAGATTTCAGGTCAGGGTGACTTCCTGTGTCTGCTGTCTGTATGTTTCGGTGAATTCGTTTGCCATTGGAATTTAAAGGTTTTTTCGACGTTTTGCATATTTTTAACGTGTCAACGTCAATTTGTCACTAGATGTTATAGCATAATATTCTCTATAGAATACTCTAAAGCCTATTTTTACTTTAAAGTTCACAGTTATTAAGTTAGTGGTTAAGGATTCTGGTAAACCTGCAATCACTATACTAATTTGAATTTGCTAGGCTAAGATAGTAAACTGTTCATAACACAAAATGCAGTCGTAGTCTGCTAACGATAAGCTTAGGATAACACTGAATTCAATCTCGATAATTCTGACCTAACTCTAACATTGCTTAGTGGATAAATTCTGAACCATCCTGAAATTGTTTGATTGTTTGCACAAACTGGAATTGCGTTCTGGTTTTCAGCGTAACTGGCTATATGCTAGGACTACCAATACCACATCTGGCACAGCTGTTATGTGATGATAAATCCGATAGATATGACACGATCAGCTTACTGCGGTGCTCAAACAAATAGTCCCATTACCTTTTGTTTTCCTTTCTTTGTTACTATTACACTGTTGTTAACATCTATTACACACTAATTTTATGTTTCATATCCTGTGGTGCATTGTTTAAAATGTAAACGCAACGCTGTTCTTCTTATTTTTTTTATTTATATTCTTTTTGGGTGTTGCTTTTTTGATTTAAAAATCTTATAGAATTCGTGAGGTAATTAGACGCAATATTGTAATGCACGCTGAAAATTCCATACCTGTACCACAAATACTGTTTGGAATAAAGCTGTTATTATTATTAATTCAGCACCCTGTTCTTCTAGGCATTTTCAGAAGTAGCTCAGACCCTATTGTGCTTGCTTATCAGCCTGACTTCGGTCCTTTTGGCCCAGATTCAGCGTCCAGTGCCCATTTGTAAGAACGACCAGCATTATTTCAGTACACTCGGTTCACTTTAGGTAGCTGAAATACTTACCATGGGAAGCCATTATTCCTGTGTAGGTTGGAATCAGTTTAGCATTGTTGTAGGATTGGGCCTTAAAGCGTTGCTACAGTATAAGTGATAGATCCCATGCTGTGAACCAGTAATCGCCGTTGGTAAAGAGCAGCTAATACGACACAGATGTGTGTAATTTCTAACTGGCATCCAAAGTGCTTTCATCACAAAACAATCAACCAAAGTCTTTTAAACTGTCACTCTTAGGCATGTGAACAGAAAGGAAGTATAACAACAGTTTAAACGTGCATGTTCATATTATGAACACACACGGAAAGAATTAGCTAATACTAACATTTTCACTTTTTTATTTTCATAGTCTCCACCTACACCCCAACAGACTGCAGTTCGGATGAACTAAAGGACAATTTCTACCTGAAACTGTCTAATTTGCTGCAAAATGCAAAACGTTCAGATTAAGCCGTTTTAGCAGGTGACTTCAATGGCATAGTAGGGAAGTTGTGCCAGACTGCGAAATATATAGATGGTACGTATGGAGTACCCCGCTGACGAGCCCACGACAGTGGTCGTCTTCAACAGTTCTGTTCAGATAATAATCTGTTCATAGTCAGCACTAATTTTAGGCACAAAGAGAGAAATTGCCTAACTCTGTGGCCTCTATCATCAAGTCAACGTTGGACTCAGATAGACCATATGGCGACAGGGTATCGTTGGTGAGGGTCAGTAGAAGACTGCCGCTCCTTCTGGAACACGCGCGTAGAATCCCATCACGCCCAGGTCCGCGCGGTCCGTTTATGCTTGCATCTAAACGGGCATAAAAAATTATTCGCAGCGAACCAGTCACGTCCCCAACTAGATCGAGACACTGAGTCCCTATTTGAAGAGAAAATAGCGAAACGTGTATCTGAGGTCGACCGCAGGACTGCTCCTGTAAAAGCCTGGCACAACATTCAGTTAGCTGTAGACACAGCTGTCAAAGCTGGTAATAACCTGAAACCAAAAGTCAGTAAGAGCCAATGGATTTCTACCGCCTCATCGTAACTGATTAACGCAAGACGACTGACTCCGGCGAGCTTCGAATATGACGAAGAGTGAAAGCTACTCAAACACAAACTAACAGGAAGCCTTCGCAACGACCGTGAAGAGTAGTGGCCGACATAAGCGTTAACTAAGGTACTAGGCAGCGTCTGGGAATGAGAGATAGTCCAGTGTGGGTGGTGTAAGTCGTTGATTATCTCGATATAGAGGAAGGGAGACAAGTCTCCCTGTGGTAATCACAGTAGAATTAGCTTGATCAATATGGTATCTAACGTTCTAGGTTCAATAATAATGTGTAGATGAGAGAACTAGGCAGGCTCCAGACCAGGAGGAAGGTGCACCGATCATATCTTCACCCTTCGACAGATTCTGGAACGGAACATAGGCATACTTACCGGCGTCCAACAATCGTGATATTTCTTGACCTGAAAGTTACATTCGACTTCGTCGACCGAGATGTACTCTGACAATGTTTGGCTGTAAAGGTAATGGCGAGGAAATACATTGCACTGATCAGGGCACTCTACTCGAGCTCATGTAGCCAGTCAGGTGAGAGCCTACGGCGAGTTGTCATTTGAAGTGATGTCTATCAGCGAGTGATGCCTACTGTCCCCATTTCTGTTTAATTTCGTCATAGATGTACTAAAGGACTTAACGCTAACTGGCGACCTCAGCGACTCACGGATTGACTTGTTACCAGGGGATAATCTCTTTGACTTAGAGCATGCAGATGATATAGTTCTTCTAGGTGAGGACACTGACAAGATGCAGAGTCTTCTGAACACCTTGAGGAGCAGCAGTCTTCGAATGTTTGGCACGCGATTCGCTCCCGTCAAATGTAAGATGATGCTACAGGACTGGACTACATTGACTCACACCTAGCTTAGAAATAGGGAGTGAAGTGATAGAGAGTGTTGACCACTTCACTTGCTTGGGGAGTTGCATCAGCCCCAACGGGTTGATCGCTGACGAAATCTCAGCGCGGATACGGGAGGCTCGTTTAGCATACGCCAAATTATGCCATCTCTGGCTCAGCAGACGTGATATCCAGGTGTCGAGCATAAGACGTGTGTACTGCTCAGCAGTTCGCTCTGTCCTCCTTTATGGCTAGTTGTGAGACATGGTCATTGAAATTGGAAGATACGAAAAGACTAGCTAGCTGCGTTTGATCATAGGTGCCTGAGTTCTATGGACTTGTCAGATATACCCTGGATTTATATCTGACATGTCTCCTAAGCAGTCGGACTACGTGTTATATGAATGCAAAAATTACTTTCCTTCTTTCTTTATTGGCGTTCTTTATTTTCTGTTCAGCATTTGTGTTATCACCACACCTGTCGCGAAGCTGTAGCACCTCGTTTGCATGGTGTGGGTTTTCACGAGAGTAAAAGAGCAAGCACGAATGTTTGGCACTGATAACCGGACTGCCAGACACGGGAATAAAGGGACTGTTCCCAAACCTATCGTCCAAAGAGACTTCAGAATCGGAGAAGGTGTAGAAACCTGGAGCTGCTCTGCAGTGTTGTCGAGAGCATGGGCTTCCGAGCGGTCTTTCAGCCCTCGCGCATATCTTCACCCTCCGACAGATTCTAGAACATACGCATTCCTACCGGCGTCCAACAGTCATTATATTTCTTGACCTAAAGGCAGCATTCGATTCTGTCGACCGGGAGGTTCTCTGGAGATGCTTGACTGTAAAGGGAATTCCGAGAAAATATATTGCACTGATTAAGGCACTCTACTCGTACTCATACAGCCAGGTGAGTGCTTACGGCGAGTTGTCATCTGAACTGATGACGACTAATGGTGTCCGTCAAGGATGCCCATTATCTCCTTTTCTATTCGACTTCATCATAGATGTACTAATGGACTTAACCCTAAGTGACTTCAGTGACTCAGGGATTGACTTGCTACCAGGGAATAATCTCGTTGACTTGGAATATGCAGACGATATAGTTCTACTAGGCGAGGACGCTGACAAAATGCAGAGTCTTCTAAACACCTTGAGCTGCAATCTACGAATGTTTGGCATGCGATTCGCTCCCGCCAAATGCAAGGTGATGTTACAGGACTGGATTACACCGACTCCTAGTTTAAAAATAGGAAGTGAAGTGGTAGAGCACGTTGACCGCTTCTCTTATTTGGGAAGTACCATCAGCCCCAACGGGTTGATCTCTGACGAAATCTCAGCACGGATACAGGGGGCTCGTTTCGCATTTGTTAGTTTACGCCGACTCTGGCGTAGACGAGATGTTCGACTATCGACCAAAGGGCGGGTGTACTGCTCATCAGTCCGCTCCGTCCTTCTTTATGGCTGAGACCTAATCATTGAGAGTGGAAGACATGAAAAGATTAGCTGTCTTTGATCATAGATGCTTGCGTTCTACCTCCCGTGTGAAGTGGTATAACAAGGTGAGCAATATTGAGGTTAGGCGTTGAGTGCTAGGTAAACAGGGGAAATCAACCAACGAAGTCGTGAAGTTACAAAGACTGAGATGGTTAGGACATGTGTTACGTATGCCTAGTCATCGCCATCCTCGACGAGCAATGTTAGCTGACATAGGGTCAGGCTGGAAAAGAGCTAGCGGAGGTCAAACAAAAACATGGCACCAGTCAATGAAATCTACAACAGTTGGTCTAAGCCACGTAGGAAGGTGTAGACTTCCTGGTTGGTGTCCTCGGGACGGTAAAAACCGATGGTTGGAAACAATTGGTGACATGGCTCAAAATATAATGAAACTGTTTTGTTCTTCGTTATTACTCTTCCTTTGTCTCATACCTCTGTTTACTGTCTCTATTATGCTTTTCTTGTACTTTCTCCTATTGCTTTGTGTGCTACATGGAGTGTGGCGACTTGAACTACTGCACATTTGTGCAAAGTTCTATGTCGAAAACAAACAGACCTCGCGCAAATAATGAAACGACAATCACTGCGATGCTAGTTGTGTGCTCACTGTCACAAAATACCTCTCCAATCGTACTTTTAGCAACTCAATCCTTTTCATTT